CGGAACCACATCTTTAAGAAACAAAAAAAAAACCTAGTCACCCGAAAAAAAGAAGAAATAAAAGGATTTGAGGTTTTGTTTTTCGTTATCCGGCAATTTTTGTTGGAATTGTGAGAGAAATGTCAAATTAGTGGGTCGTTTCATGCGTTATGGCCTCATGTTTTCTTTACTTCATCTTCGACTATTCCATTTCTAGCTATGTGTTGGCCACAATTTTATATTTTGCGTATAAAACTGGAAGAACTCAAGAATTAAAATAAAATTTATCAAAGACTTCGTTGGTTCTCTTGTGCCTCGGATTCAAATTTCTTTTGGGACGGAGAGTTATTCTTTAAATCAGAATATCCAAAGACTGTCTCCGGATACCGAGGAGATTATGAGCCAAAGGTTCGAAACTTCCACAATTTATCAGATAAAAAAAATGGAAAAACTCAAGAATTGAAATAAAATTTTACCGTGTGCATGTAGCATGTATAGATTATCACACATGCTAATAGTTGGAGAACGGATCGGCAGCTTTTGCTCATTTTCCCTTATCAGGCTTTTAGTTCCATAATTTTTCTCTAAATTTTTCGGCATTTGTTTTTGGAGGGTTTTCGACTTTTGATGTTTTCTTTAAAAAGATCTCCACCTTTATCGATTTGGTGTAGTTTTCATTTTCAATTCTAATAAAAAAATACGAGTATTTGTATTGGAAACCAAAAATTATACACAAATTGGCAAATTAATCAAAAGAAGGAAGAAGAAAACAACCTATTGTTTTCCAAAGGAATCCCACAATTTTAGTTAGTTTGTAAATATGTGTATAATTTTTGGTTATCTACCTAATTTACTCTAAAATATATCTAGAAGAAAAAACAAATCTAAACATTTTAAAAGTATATGGGATATCGCTCAGATCCCAAAACCTGGTACTGGTTTTAGCGGATCATTGGAAGAGAATATGGGGTATGTATTATACTTGATGGACCGACAGAATATAAATGCAACAACACGATGTGCTATCTCCTGGATATTATGGAATATTTGGAAGAACTGTAATGCAATTCTTTATTCGATTTTCCAAGAATCTGTTGCAAAGATTGTTGATCAGTTATTGGAAGAGTCTACACATTGAAGAGTTCTCAACAAGGAGGTTAATGGATCTTCCAACTTGTTGGTGAGTTCAGGTGATAGAGAAAGATGGCAGGCTCCTCTCCATGGTATAGTCAAATGTAAAATTAACTCACATTGGAGAAACTCAACATTACATTGCGGTTAGGGGTGTCAAACTGAGCTACCTT